AATAGTCCTTTACTGCGAAGGATCGTTCACATATACGTCTCATAACCGCAGTTCATACATATGTTTCATATGTTTGTTGTTGTTTAATTTACACTGTGAATCCCATATTCCAAGAGAGGATCATACAAGTTTCCTAACAAACCCTCAAAGAGCAAGGGTTCGTGATACTGGGGGTTTATTTTGGTTGCGCACATGTGTAGCACACGTGTAGATGAAAGCAGAGAGATTCTTTGCTATAGTCTGTAAATGCGCTTACACGTAGGGGTATGGAACAGTTAGGTTTCATGAAATGCATACCAAAGGAGGGAAAGAAATAAGATATGTGTTTTTTTGCAATTTAAGCCTTTTTTATAAGTGGACAGTTTCCTGGAATTAGTAGCAGCAAATATTTCTTTTGGAGCCAGTGATTTTGAGATCATAATTGAAAATACGCAGGGGAAGGGGCTGGGGGGATGTGAATGAGGCGCAAATGTCCAGCACAGGCAAGATAACAGTAAACAGTGGTTAGGCACGGTAGCAAATAAAAAGAAATCTATTTTGATCCTTTACGCGCTTATAGTCGTAAGACTCCTTTTCCGTTCTGTGGTACTTCGAGGAAATAGTAACAGCTACTGGGGGTCGAAGGCCATGGTTACGGGCTTCCTTGGTAGTTTAACATAGCCTTATAAGGTAGACGTTCACACATATATGAGTAAGCATTAATTTTTGTAAATCGTCTTTTATTCATAATCTGGTTTTACGCTAGATTCGCCCATCATCCGGCTTTGGTAGAGTATCAGGTATTGAGCAATGACCACGCAGATATAAACTGAGAGAATATAAAATGTAATAAATAAATCGGTGTTTGACTGACGCAAATATACGTTACACGTTGTCGATTACAATGGGCGTTTGTGAATATAGGTATATTCTTGATTTGAATTACTTTCAAGTTGAGGTTTTTTTCCAGACCTATGAAATTCTAGTTCTACTTGTAAGTGTTTCAGCAGTCACATACGGAGCCTTAGCGAAAAAAAATATGAAATAAAAGTGATCAGTATCAGTATCAGCCAGTTTAACAAGCTTATCATAAGTCAGCAGATAATGTGGAGTATATTAATTTTAGCCGATGCACGAGTTTGAAATGCGTTGTGATAGGATGTGATCTTATTCGCGTTTAAGGGTTTTACATGCAAGTTATTTCTAAAATTTCCTTATCTACGGTGGTGAAATACGCGAACGATGCCGTAAAATGATAGATAATACGGGTCGTATTATTGTTACAGTCATATTTTGCAGTTTTACTTGGATCAGAATTAACCTAATGCAATTACCGTTGTTCGTAAGTGTTTTCGTGATGATGTATCTATTGGTTTGCTCAAGTTTCCACAGAGATTATCTCGAGTATGTGGGCAATTTACATACAAACGATAGATAAATAAAACGTTTGATGATTATATCACTCATGGTCTCCACTTCTTGTCTCTTGAACAATGAAACATTAACATGCTCGAGTTGAGGTAAGGACAATGCGTCTTTCTTGTTTCCTTGTGGATTTTCTGAGGTCGGCTATCGCTCTCTACTTGATCTTCGACCGACTCTCGTTTCACTTTCAATTTTTCAGAAATAGAATTTTATCGCTCATCCACACTTAAAAGTTCTGCTCCTTAAGTGATTTTCTTGTTCTGTCGCGTTGTAGCCATTCGTTGACCTCATGCACCCGGTAATTCATGGGACCTGCGCCCCCTTCATATGCAATTTTTTTATCTTGTACAATGTATAAGCGGATTGGAACAGCACCGTATGCGATATTGGCTTCATTTAGCATGCTGTCTACCGCCACAGTGCAGCCGGAGAGATCCAAGGATTTCGCCATTTTTTGGGCGGCCTTGCATCTTTCATCTAAAGTACGGTGCTTCGGGATGTCACTGTTATTCTAGAGATACAACCAAGAAAAGGAAATTGTCAGGATTTGTTTTGGCTCTTATCAAGGCATCATGTTACGGCAGTTTTCCAAGCTCCATCGAAGGACAACGAGTGTCCGGAGGCCTAATCAGCAACTATATAAATAGTAACATACATAATTCGCGTGAAAAAGGCTAAACAAATTATTCGAAGTGCTCTAGTGTTTTGAAATTTAACATAAACAAAATGCATTCCCCACATAATAGCGAAACGTATTATTGTTTCTTACCTTAAATGCCCAGCCATCGACGGGATGAGCCTCTTCAATGTATATCACAGCAAAATCGGCCATCTCTGAAAACTCCTTAATTAGCACTTGGTATCTTTTCAACATTTTCATAAAAACAGGACAGGTTGAGCTGCCGAAGTTGAGCACCAGTGGTCGGCTACCTCTTGCCAAGTCGAAAATTCTCTGACAACGTTTTCCATCGATGGAGACGATGGGAGAATTGTAGGCTTTGTTGTTTAATTTGACCTTTTTACCCATATCGGCGAGTACGCAATAATACACATTCTGCAACATTTTCCAGGTAAACAGCGAATCCCAGTAAATTTCTGTCGGCAAGGAAGTATCCGTCATTTTACATATCGCAATGCCGATCATCGACTTGAAAAATGGCAAAATTTTCAGTAGCCGTCCCACGGTGAAGAGGAGAAGAAGCGAAGAATAGATGAGAAATCTTTGGAAAACTTGCAGTTCAAAATACATTTCGACAGCTAGGACACTGGCTACTGCTAGGAAACGAGCTCTCAGAATAAACAAATATTTTGTTTGTTGCCCTTTTTATATCCCCCTACGCAAGGTAAGCAGAAATCCGCTTTTGTTGAGTGACCTAAACAATAACTAAAATAAAGTAAATCTACAGGGACGCCAGTATTTAATTACCAGAATTAAAACTGACACCCAGCTCATTCCATGGGGAAACAAGTTTTGTACTAGTTATCTGAAAACAGCTTTGGAATGTTCCTTGGAGGCATGTTTATCGAAAATGGAATTTATTAGGTCACTTTTCAGACATTTTTTCTCCGTTTTTCTTCATAACTTGACCATTATAAATACATACAGTGCACTTGTGTTAATTGCTCTATTTTGCGTTATTTTATTACGGGACCGGCGCGCCGGTGACTGGTACCGAAGCATTTTACTCTCTGAGATTTGGTGCGTGCAAGAGTGGAACCGCAGCCTGAAACGACACCATAAGACTTTATGATAACACCAGAAACAATTTCTCCACATGTTCCAATTTGAACAGATAACTTGTGATGCTTTTTAGCTTTCGTGCTCAAGGTGTGAAGTCACTGCACAATTATCGTGATTGCCTGGATTCCTTGAAGCCGCGAAAAACAAAGGGGTTCCATTAATCTGATGCAATTAACGACAAAGTGGTCCCAACTAATATACCGCCAATACCTGGTCAAACCGTATTACACAGCGGAGGTGCGTGAACCGCAGACAAAATATTTGAAAAATTGAAGCTAGTCTAAAGTGCCTTTCTTCAGAGATTCCGGTCTCGGCGAGCAGTTTGGTATCGCCTCTTCCGCCTAAAGTAAAATCAACTGTGACACCACTGTCTCCCTTTTTCTATTGTTTCCGTCTCCCGGAATATTTTCACGAGATAATTTGTAAACATGTAGCGCTTTCCAAACTCTCACTTAGTAAATACAAGCGTAAAGGCGAGTTCACGAAAAACGAAGTAATCGTGCTGCTCCTCTTGAGCACACATTCCTGCTTTGGTGTCTGATGCCCGGCGCGTTAATTAGATCCCAGATCGTTTAAGCTTTCGCAGGATGGATCATAGCTATGGGTTTTTGGCAAGGCAGTTAAGTTTCATCTCGCCTTTCCCCGTGTCTTTTTCAGCCGTTCTTTGATCTCCTCTGGGAGAGCGGTGAGAACACGTTTCGTGACGAGACCAAACAAGGGCTGCCTCTCTCCTGCCAGGAAATAAATGGGTACTGTACGTAGACCTCTCTGGAAACTTGATGAGTCGGTGGGGGTTGGCTAACATGAATTAACATTCTGTTCGGGGAATACTCTTCTCAATGATGTTAAGGTTGTTTTATTCGCTATCTTCAAAAATCTGACCCAATTTCAGATCAATACACTTTTCTCAACCGTCTTCTGAACTGACCTTTGAAAAATTCATACCCGTTTTCTGACCTGTCTTCTGAAAGTTGAAATACTCTTTATTGTACCTTAGAAAATGCAACGAAGCCCATTTCAACTTTTAGCCGGGTATGAATTTTACAGTTCAGTTCAGAAGACGGGTGAGGAAAATGGAATGAGTTGATCTGAAACTGGGTCAGATTTTTGAAGAAAGCGAACGTTACTTCTATCACTTTCATTTCGACAGTTGGAGTTAAAAAGTGGAGGACTACCTTTATCTGATTATACACATTCGTGGTTCTCTTGAAAATTATACCTTGCTTCAGGGCCAAATGTCCACAATTTGTATCCGTTTTAAAAACCAAAACGACACCCAAATCATACCTTTTTGGGGTGACTCATCAGCTATTTAGGTTACATAGTACAAAGGAAGTACATAGGACTTCCTGCCACATCAACATTGTATTTCGTATACAATTCCCTGTAGATCACTGAATAAGAGCATCGTGTATTACACTCCACCCTAAGGCGAGCTGTCGACAACAACCGCAGTGCTATTTTCGATCGAGTCCCGTAAAATTAAAACCAGAATCAATCAGATTGGCCAATCGAAGATAGATACGACGATGAGCTTGAGCGAACTCAAATTTGAAAAAACAAAAAAACAAAAAACAAGGAAAGCAAAGCAGAAGGCGTAGGAAAGGGTCAAGTCGTAATTGGTTCTATACGGCGTTCTGATTAGATTGTTTGGAGGAATAAGTCTTCAAGATCAGTCACGAGGCAAAGAGACTGAAAATGCCTATTAAATTTCGGATTAATTTGGACATCCCATTGATCATGACAATAATTCTTCATTTTACGTATCGCTTTATCGTAGTTTTCACACATGCAACTCGATTTTTTTTTTCTGAAACATTCTCCTAATTGTTTTGTTTGATTTTCGTCATTTTTTTTTTCTAATATTCATTTCTACATTTCCTTCTTAGTTTGGTGTCCTCCTGCTATGGTTGGACATTTGACGAAACACAGCCAGTAGTGGAGTCTCTTCTAAAGAAGAAGGCCTAGGATATAGATAATTTTTGATACGAGCGTTTGCAGAGGTAATGCAACATTTATGCTGTCTACAAGTAAATACTCACAGGGAGAGTTTGAGAAAAAGGTCAAAGTTAATCCCTTTTTTCACTTCAACATCTACTAATAGCCTATTTCAAGAAGACAGAAGCCGCAAGGCACCGAGATCCATTCGAAAACGCAAAAAAATTTCGTGTGCACTGCTAATCAATGACATCTTTTTGTGAATTTTGTCAAATTTTCTTGCGTGAATATTGAATTTTCGATGACGTCAAACTTAGAGTGCCCCAAGTTGTTTCCATATATAACCATGCCAAATTTTCTTTATATTTCGTGACCATTGTCACGCTCAAGAACCAGAAATAACGATTTATTGACGTCACTAGTCTGAAAACTTCAAGCTCGTTTGTTTTCACTCAGTCTGGTTGGAGGATTATTTTAGAAGTTATCGCGTGAAATCGTAATGGAAAGAAACGGTAGAAGAAGTTAGATTTTCTGTATGTGGTTCACTTGAAACGGCGTACGATGGTATTCTTATGATTTCGTACCTGTAATTTCCAAACGAAACTCCTTGTGTGTAAACTGAAAAATGTATTACGTGACAGTCCAAAGGTGCCTCGCTTTGGTCATTATAAGGAAATTAGGTCTCCCTGTATGATGATTATTACATAATTCCAGTTACTAGAGTAAATAAACTTTGACTTCAAGAACATTCATGAGTGTATTGAAATAATTTTCATGATAGAGAATTGAGGGTGACAGGGAGATGACAATGAGGTCCAGTCCCCTCGCTTGCTTTTCTGGCGTTTCCAGGCGCTTCAATTTTAATGCCTTGAACATTGTTTTGCCGAACGCGAAAAGCTCCTCATCTAGGCCTATCCATTAAGAGGTTGCTTGTGGTCTATTAAAAAAAAATCATTTCAACGCAATGTCTGCATGAACTCCCTTCTAACACTGTCTGAGACCTTTAATGGATAGGAGTGATCATAGCCTACGAGAATGCCCCACCCCCACCCCCCCTTCCTTAACACATAAGCTGTTGCTCGAGAAATAATCACGTGTCTCTTATCCTTGTGAGACTTTGAGATTTCAAGTCCTACAAAATTTGAAGGCACTTTCAAGCAGCACTATCTTGAACAATATCTTTAGTTTGTAGAAATTGTGGCAATTGAAGCTTATAGAGTAGGAATTGCCCTACGTGATAACATTTAGCCTGTTTAGACTACCTGGAATAGAACACCTCTTTATCAGTCAAACTGTTACTTAGGTCAAAATGATTTGTCCTAGCTTCCCTCTTTCTACCAATTAGTGTAGCTTAAATTTATCATTTTTCGATCAATTTGATAGGCGTGCAACATTTAGTTCTTCAATTCTAAGATTTTCGACCAATACCTTAATCGGCAGAAACCACGTTACGTTTGTAAATAGTCAGATGAAGAGAAATATCGAAAGTGTTGGGGGAATTGTTTTCGGCATTCGTACAATTTTCAATTGTTTCGCAGGATCGAAACTTGCAAATCTCATAGTCAAACGAGCGATCATGAAAATGGGAGAGTTGTAATACGGCATTATCAATAAAGTTAAGTCCATTACACCTGAAAGCTGATTGGACAAGAAAAGTCGTCTATCGTGCCATGCTTGGCCACTTTATAATCTCCTGGTCTTTTATCAGCTGAACGTTTTCCATTTATGTCGCCTTTCCATTTTTTTGTGACAAATTTTCAATAACAGCTGCTTCGAAAATCCTGGGTACCTTTATTAAATTTTATTCAAGCTGAAAACCCGATAACATTTTTGCTTTCTTTTCTTGAAATATTAATTAATAAAAATTGATTTAACCATTTTCAGTGCAGAAAAGGTTTTCCACCAAAGGGATCAAAGAGATTAAGTTTTCATATAAAGATGGATTTCTTTTCGAAGCTCTTTACGTTCCGAATGTAGTTTTATTTTTGCAGACTGTAGCTAGTCAATCGTTTTTTATCTGTGATCGATCTGAGCCGATCAGAATCCACTCCAGTGGCTATTAAGAAAAAGTGTTGCGTGCACAAAAGTGAAGATGGCAGAATGTGTAGAGAGAGGTTCTCTTAGAAAGCCATTTCCGCGGCACCTTTTAGAGATTAGATGACTTAAGGCGATAAGAAAAAATGGATGGGAAATTTCGCAACCGATTGAGATCGCTAGCTTTCACTGACAACATCCATGAATGGCGTCGTGAAAGCCCCCAGCGTCATGGCTTCCAATTAGCTCTTAGCCTGATAATCATGACATTTTCCATATTCTAATGTTTATACAGTATTTCATAACACTTTCCTCCTCTTGTTTGTTAGCTGTTGGTCAGAATCGTAATCCCTAAGAAAGAAAAAGGAAAAGTTTGGTGACCTCGATCGCGAGCAAAAACTGGTCTAAAAAATTCTGTTTTACCTGGGACGTTGTTTCACAAGGTAGGTTGAGCGTTATTCGATCTGCCGAAATCCTATCACTATATTTTTTCAAATGATTATAAGCAAAAAGAAAGGTTTTTGAACGTTGCTCCATTTTGTATTGGAAAAAGTGAGAATCGGTCAAAATATTTTCCACCATGTTTTAAATCATGGGAGCAAAACGAAAGGAAACCGCATTGACACTACAAGAAAATCGTATAATGGTGTTTCTTCGTTATTAAAGGGTAAAAAATCAGCAGTCGTTTCTTAGCTATATGGCTGCTTAAAATTATGAAAAGGGAGCAAACCCTTTTACTAATTAAAATTAGGAATTAGATTTGAAATAAAGAATTACTGCTGCTAATTCCGGATATATTATGATGAGAATTCTAAATATCACCTGGAAGCAACCTGGAGGCGATTCTGACCTTCTAAAGAAAGTGCCTCTCGCTCTCGTTTAATTGATTTTTAGCAAAATTCTTGGCACATGGAGTAGGTTACTGTTTTTCCATATAGGAAGTTTTATTACGGAAACGGTGGGAAAATCCATTTTTTCCGTAACACGTCTTAAGCAAATTCATTCCTGAAATAAAATGCGTTCCCTTTTCTTCAGCCTTCATATATTCTTTTCAGCAATTTTGTTGTCGAACTCGTGTCTTTTTCAGTTTAATATCAATAGCTTTTGGCATCCATTCTCACTGGATTTATAGATGACAAATGGATGGCGACCTCACGAGAAAAGAAGGTCGATCAGACTTAACAACACTCCAAGAGAACATGAGGGTTCCCTTACGATCTCATACAATACCTTAATACTATGAGGGAAAAAAGCTTCAAACGTAAAAAAAATTACCCGTTGGCAATGACTGAAATATTTTCTACGAGTTCAAACGAGGAAATATTAAATGCAAAATAAAAAAGATAATTGTAAAAAAAATTAAAAACTATATTCAAATAAAAGGAACAGCTTTCTAAAACTTAAAAAAAACACACACACACACAAACAAACAGTGAAGACAGAAAACCAAAAAAATAAACAAAACTTGAACAGTTGTTTTTTTCAGTTAAACATGGATTTTACGCTCTAAACCAATCAATTTACTCGGCATTTTAAGTATTTTTTTTTCTTTTTCTTTCTTTCCCTTTTTTGTTTTCAATTATTTTTTCTTAGATCTGGACATATTTAGATATACATATAAAAACACCTACCAACCAAACGTGCCCATAAAAGAAGACAAGCCACAGAGGGAGGGGTGGTAGAAGCTTTGCATCTATACAGACGATGACAAGGCAAATGCGACCTGATTTCTTTCTAAAACAAGCAGTCAAAGCAGAGTTACAAGAAGGTCAATACTTATAACGTGGGAGGAATTTGGATGTCAGATATCGCGGCTACTAGCTATGACAAATTTATTCAACAGCTTAAATGGTTGTGCAGTACTGAAATTGCCAAGGGATTGAGGCCAAGGTAAAGGAAATACCTAAGAGACCAAACCTACTGCCTGTTGATCCTCAAATAAGACGAAAAAAGCCGAATATCCTGCCAATTGCCTCTATAACATATATTGTCGCCAAACAACTCAGCCAAGAAATATTATCTATATTGTATATATTTGCTTTGTTGTAGGACAACGAGTGGAGAACTTTCTTGTTTTGTAATTGCAAATGATGTTCAGAATTTAGCAAAGCTGTCAATTTTCTGCACATTAATTTTTCTAATTTTAGCCGAAGAAGAATTAATCAATATTATAAGCTATTCTCGTTGGAAGGCTCCTGTCCTCCTATCGAACTGTGAGCTTACTTCCTAGATCGGAAAAGAAATTAAAAATATTGGCAAACTATAGTCTTATTTGATTTACGATTTCAGGAGCAAAACACACTCAATGCTTTATATTTCAATTTTAAATTACGTGTCTGGTTTAGACCTCGCAGGAAACAGTTATTCAAAATTTAATTTTAACTCCATAATGGATGACGTTTAGTTTTAAAACTACTTTTTATTGCAAAATTAAACATAGGTAACGTAACTGCACGTGAAAAATACAACAGGGGGTGTTTTTAAGACTTTATATCGCAACTGAATTTGAATATTGATTTGACCACTTTATCACACATATTGTAAATCAACATGGCACCGATATCAACTTTTGTCATATTTTGTCAGTGGCTTGAATTTACCGTCTCTTTTTGAGCAGATAATCTCGTAGACATGACCTTCAGCTCTGCTTTCCAAATATAAATAACACTTTTATACTTTTCATGTTGAAAGAAATGCCTGCGCTTTCGTGATAATGGAACAAGCAAGGTTTTCACCGTTGATTAGTAGAAAAGATCCCAAGAATAAATAAAAGGAAAAACTAATTATTTTTTACTGTTTAATTTAGCGATTGTAAAGACGGTCAATTGTGAAAACAGTCAGAGATTATTCTTTTTTATGCAATTTCTATTATTCTTGGTACAGCAAGAGAAAAACAAAAAAGGTAATATAATTTTCAAAACCAGAAAGGGAAGTCTTAATTCCTTGGCGATAGAAAGCGATAACAATCGTAACTCTTTTAACACCTTACCTATTATGGGATTAATTCTTTGCGACAATAATATTCGTGATTTTTATGAGGTGGTGTTTATTCAACACCCATAGTATGGTTTAAGAGCTTCGTGGCCGTCAGTCACTTACTCTGATCTGTCAAACGGGAAGAACAATCCCTTCGGCAGGTGTACAACAGCTTGCTGCGAAGTTAAGTTACAAGTTTGCCTCCCTGAGGGTTTTGTGGGTATGCTTTGTGATATTTTATTTTGAGTTGACAATTGGACTAAGCTAAACTGGTAGGATTGGAACATATAAAATTTAAGGAATTTTTGCTTTTTAAATCATTCAAAAATCTTACGAACGTTATAATAATCATAACCAAGCGTAAATGTTGGTCTTGAGCAAGGCTTCAGCTTAGATAACTGTTCACCGGTGCAAGACTCTGCGCTATTTGGATTTGAAGTAATAAGAAAATTTATCTTTCTCATTCTACATTTACAATGACAATGACATTCGAACTGATCGAACAAAAGCGAAATTCTTTTGCGATGGCTACATTCAAAAGTTGGACTCACAATAAGTAAATTTTCTTGTGAATTAAAAATTCACCTCTCATAAGTTGAATATGAATGGAACATTTTGTCGTATGGAAATCTGATTAAGAAACAGTTATTCGTCGTTTGCGGTTGGTAATCAATACACAAAACCGCTTAAATTTTACTAA